GTTGGCTTCCCCTGGCGGTGCGGTCGGGGGGCACGGGCCGACGGATCCCCCGCCTCCCTCCGACACTCTCCGGGCGGAGGTGACCAAGGCGGCTCCCATCTCCACGGCCAAGCGCTCCAAGGCGGTGGTGACGACCCCGGTGGCGCAGGAACGGGTCAGCTCCCGGCCAAAGGGCGCCAAGGGCAACCTCCTTGCTCTCCAACGCGCGCAACTCTTGCTGGCCCAGAAGAACATGGAGACCGAAGGTAACCCCCTACCCCGTTTTACGATTTTCGACGATTACTCGGATGAGTGCCTTGGTAGTATTTTAGGGGATAGTGGGGTTGATCTGTCTGATGAGGGAGAGGCCCGAGAGCTCCTGTCTCTCATTCGCTCTAAGGAGATCGTGCAGGCCGCGCTTGCCCAGGCGGCGGCGGCACGCGCTGCGACGGCACCAGAAGAGGCAGGGGCTTCTCTGGTCCCGGTCGCCCGGCCCGATCGGGCGGACACAGCAGCAGGGGCTGCACTGTCCCCCCCAGCCCGTGGTCCTGTGAGGACTCGGCGAGTGGCCAAGGCGGTTACCGCTCGTGGTATCCACCTCCGCAATCGCATAATCTAAATGCGTTTCCTCTTCTGGAACATCCGAGGCTACGACCACGTTGGGAGGCGGACCCAGCTTAACGAGTTCATTCGTGGCGAAAACATCGATGTAGTTGGTCTGCAGGAAACCATCAAGGCTGATTTCTCTCACCGAGACCTGCTCGCCATCGACCCGCTCGAACGCTTCGTGTGGCACTGGGTGCCAGCGATTGGCCACTCTGGGGGTATGCTACTTGGCATCAGCCATGTGTGCTGCGAGGTGGTGGCTTGGGACGCCGGCCGGTTTTTCGTGTCGGCTCACGTCCGCCATCGTGCGTCTCTCCGCGAGTGGGAGATTATAGTGGTCTACGGCCCGGCAGATCATTCACACTCGCATGAGTTCTTGGGGGAACTTCAGGAAAAGGTTGCGGCCTTGGGTGTTCGCAACCTACCCCTCATCGTGGGAGGGGATTTTAACCTTATCCGTTCGGGAGCGGATAAGAACAACGGGATTATTAACTGGACAAGGGTGTCCATGTTCAATAATGCGATTGCTTCTATGGCCCTTAGGGAAGTGGCCCGCGTGGGCGCACGATATACCTGGATAAACAAGCAACTCTCACCGGTCCGGTCTGTGCTGGACCGTGTTTTTATGTCCGCGGAGTGGGAGATGTTCTTTCCTATGTGCTCACTTCACGCTGAAACGAGGATCGGGTCGGATCACGTCCCTCTAATCCTCTCCTCGGGGGAGGACCGGTTAAAACGAAGCCCACGGTTTTTCTTTGAAACTGCTTGGTTTGAAAACCCGGAATTTGAACAAATCTTCCTCTCCAAATGGGAGTCCTGTGTGGCCCGGATCCGGCACGCGAGAGGGCCCATGGATTTCTGGATTTCCGCAGGGGCGGGGTTGCGCGCGGCCCTCAAAGGTTGGGGGGCCAACCAGGGTCGAGAGGATAAGCTGCTCCGAGCCCGTTTGGTGACGGACCTCGCCCGTATGGACGCGGCTGCGGACGTACGGGTTTTCTCGGAGCAAGAATGGGCCGAGCGGTACGCGGTTGAGGCCCAGGTTGAGGCCCTCCTCCGTGCCGAGGAGGAGTACTGGCGTAGGAGGGGCGGAATAAAGTGGACGCTCAAAGGGGACGCAAACACAAAATACTTCCATGCTTATGCCAACGGCCGGCGTCGTAAGTGTGCCATTCTGAGGTTGCAATCGGAGCAGGGGCTCCTATTGCGCCAACAGGACATAGTCCGGCACATTTACGATTTCTACATCGAGCTGCTGGGCTCCAGGGAGGAGTCCAGGGCTCGCCTACGGGCGGATATCTGGGATCCCGCTCTGCAGGTCTCGGATGAAGAGAACGAAGGCTTGGGCCTCGCCTTCCTTCCTCAGGAAATCGACCAGGCGATCCTGGGGATGAAATCTGACACGGCACCCGGCCCGGATGGGTGGCCGGTGGCGATGTTCAAAAAATGTTGGCAAGTCCTCAAGGGCCCAATTTTCGAGGTGTGTAACGGGTTTATGCGTGGCACTGTAGACATCTCGCGCCTTAACTTTGGGGTTCTTTCGCTTATCCCCAAAGTTCAGGGAGCGGACAATATTAGACTTTTCCGCCCCATAGCGCTTATCAATGTCCCGTTCAAAATCTGCTCTAAGGCTTGTTCTTCGCGCTTGTCTCCGGTGGCCCATCGTATTATTAGTAGGAATCAAACGGCGTTTATTCGTGGTCGCAACTTTTTGGAGGGCCCGTTGGCCCTCCAAGAGATCGTTCACTCGCTCAAGCGTAGCCGCCAGCCGGCAATACTTCTGAAATTAGATTTCGAGAAGGCGTACGACCGAGTGAACTGGGAGTTTCTCCGACAAATCCTTCTGGATCGAGGGTTTTCGGCAGTGTGGGTTCACCGTATGATGCAATTGGTCTCGGGAGGCCAAACGGCGATTGCGGTGAACGGAGAAGTAGGGAACTTCTTCCGCAACAAGCGTGGGCTGCGTCAAGGGGACCCAGCCTCACCGTTGCTTTTCAACTTTGTGGCAGATGCATTAGGTGTCATGCTAGACAAAGCTCGCGTTGCTGGCCACATCAGGGGAGTGGTCGGCAATCTGATCCCTGGAGGGGTGTCGCACCTTCAATATGCCGATGACACCCTACTCCTTTTTGAGCCGGACACTCACAGCATAGCAACGGTTAAGGCCATCTTGTTATGTTTTGAACTAATGTCCGGACTAAAAATTAACTTCCACAAGTGTGAAGTGGTGTCCATAGGGCTGGGCGCGGCCGAAAGCGAACGGGTGGCCAACTTGCTAAATTGCAAGCTTGGAGAGTTCCCGTTCACCTACCTTGGCCTCCCGATCGCAGAGAAGAAATGCTCGATTGCCGATTGGGAACCTCTCAACACTAAGGTGGCGGACCGGGTATGTCCATGGAGAGGTCAATTTATGTCATCAGGGGCACGACTAATCCTTACTAACTCTAGCCTCTCGTCCCTACCCATGTTCGCCATGGGTATGTTCTTGTTGGCGGATGGAGTCCATAAGAAAATGGACACTCCCCGGGCACGTTTCTTTTGGGAAGGTGCGGGCCCTAAACGGAAGTACCACATGGTTAAGTGGCATGCCGTTTGTAGACCTAAAACCCAGGGGGGTCTCGGGGTCATCAACTCTAAGCTGATGAACATTGCACTTATGTGCAAGTGGATCTGGAAGCTGTCCCAGGGAGGGATCGGCCTCTGGATTGACCTCCTTCGCGCCAAGTACTTCCCACATGGGAATTTCTTTGAGGCGTCTCCTCACGGGTCACCTTTCTGGACCTCCATCCAATCCCTCAAACCGTACTTCGCCAGGGGAGCGAGGTTTACGGTTAACAACGGCCGCTCCACCCGGTTTTGGCACGACGTGTGGATTGGCCAGCAACCCCTTTGGTCGGAGTTCCCCCACCTCTACGCCATCGCGGTTGAGCCCAATCAACTGGTGGCGTCGGCCCTCAGTGCCTCCCCGCCCCCCATATACTTCAGAAGGGAGCTTGTGGGACCGGAGCGGGCCGAGTGGGATCACGTGCGGGCTTTGACTGCGACCGTCCGCTTATCGGACTCCGCAGACGAGGTCTCTTGGAGACTCTCGGGCTCTGGCAAGTTCACTGTCAAGTCAATGTATAGGGAGTTGTGCCGCGGGCATGCCCCTATGGCAGCCTCGGGGCTTTGGAAGGCGCGAATCCTGCTAAAAATTAAGGTCTTTCTTTGGCAATTATGTCAGGATCGCCTTCCTACCTCTATTAATATAGCCAAGCGCAATGGCCCTGCTTCCGGACCGTGCGCTTTGTGTCATAACGCGGAAGATGCTGACCACGTGTTTTTTCACTGCCCTTTGGCGCGGTTTGCTTGGAGTGCGGCCAGGGAGGCCGCTGGGGTGGATTGGGATCCACGCTCACGCTCTGAGCTTGTGTCTTACTTATCTGCGATCCCGGGCTCTTTGCGCCGGATAATGTGGACGTGTGCTTCGGCCTTGCTATGGGCCTTATGGCATATTCGTAACAAGTTTACTATTGAGGGAGCGTTTCCCTCTCACCCTGCTGATGTTATCTTCAAATGGATCTTATTCTTGCAGCAGTGGGCTACGCTGGGAAGGCAACAGGATGCTGATCTCCATCGACATGCCATCGCTCGGCTCCGCACAGTCTACTCGGTGTCCTGGGCCCCGTCTCCTCCTCCGTCTGCTGCCTTATAGGGATAGGCGGCCCTTTTGGTCCTGCTTTCTTTGAGCCTGTGTGCTCGCTCTTCTGGCTAGCTATGCCATGTAACGCACTTATCACCGGTCTCGCCTTTTGGCTTTGCTTCGAAACTTGGTTGTCTAGCTTCGGTTCTGTTTAGTTTGGTCTTGATACTTTGTTTGCACGCTGCCTATTGTTGTGGGCTTTATTAATTTAAAGCCGGATGTCTCTGACGTCTATGTTCTAAAAAAAAAAGTCTGGCTTCCCTGGCATCATGAGGTTCTTGCTAGATGCTGGTGCTAACCCCAATATTCCTGATGAAGTGAGCCTTACTTGTTTTGCTGTTGTCATTTGTCATCATCTACTTTTCATGCATATGCTGTAAGTTAGCTGAACAATGTTCCATTTTTTCTCTATGAGGTCATGTTAGGCTGCAGATCTTGTTTAAAAAATGTGGTTGTAGACTCTTGACACTCGACAGATTAGGATAATCTTCTTACCCACACATCGTCTGATGCCGGGAATAGGCTTACATGAGGATAAAACACTACTTTCGTTGTATCATCAGAATTGATGGTATAAAGTTTCTTGTCCCCAGGTCATAGATATCCTGAAGTAGGGTGTACAAGCTAAGGTGTATTTATATATGGTCATTTTTCTCGCACTTACCTTATGTTTTTACAACGATTACAAAAATCTAAAAATTAACATGCGAAGAACATTAGTATTGGTGCTTTACTTAATTACTAGTAAATGGCACGTGCCGTGCACGTGTATAATTCTAGGATTATTGTGAAATGCCGCATGTTGGGGTGGGGTGGGGGGTGACCTATGGCAATTAATTGTATTCAATATAATTATATTGTCAGCATTTATTTGGTTTTTTTTCAAGTATGACCAATACACATGAGAAGCGGTTGTTTTCTCTTGACACACATCTATATAATTTAAACTACGATGAGTAGAGTCACGTACGCATATTAACACTATTAATTGTAATGACGTAAACACTTTAATATTTGTGTAATCTTGCTTTTACATAATTTGAAATCCTCAAACATATATAAATTTAATATGTGCTAAACTGGGTAACGGAAAGAGTACTAAGTTGCAAGTTATTAATCATTACGAATAAATTAATTATTCAACTCAAAAAGAAGAATAAAATAATTATTCAAGCATTGATTATGTCCTTTTTGGTTGATCAGAGTTGTTCACAAAAAATATTGGTAAACAAAAGGAAAAAAACAGGGTAGTACTATTTCTAAAATGAATATGGGAGAAAGTAAAATCTATTCAACCGTAACATGTATTATCCTGCACCATTGCATGCTTTTTCGCACTCTCTCATCGTGATTAGGATGCCTACTTGCTAGCTAGTACCTTTGCTAGTACTACTCTATGCGCAGTACAAATTTGTCATGGGAGTTCACCAGAAATTTCTGGATAGCGAAGGCAGAATCACGTGCGTGGTACAAATTTCATGCGGGAGTGACAGGCAGCAGGGGGATGGGGCCCACAGCGAATCCTTGCAATATGAGCCATCAGATTAACATATCCAACGGTGTCAATGTGGCCACGTAGTCCTCTATCACAAGCCACTAAATATGAGCTGTTCAATTAGAAAGATCCAACGGCTTATACGAAGTGCTACTGGTACACTATATAGGAAAATAGGAGTATAGATATAGATTTATGATAAAAATATAGCTTTTTCGATAAAGGACATTTACATTTAATTGATATATCGAGGTGATACAACCGCACTGAGCGAATGCCCGGCCTCTGCTGTGCACGATGCACACAGCCAACACAACCAAAAAGAAGAAATGCGAATATAGTATAAAAAATATAGCTATATCGGTGAACAGAAATAAATCAATGTAAATCGCAAACCTGAAATCTTCGAAGCATTTGGCACTGAAATCCATCACTACCTAGGTTTCTGCTGGCACCAACGTCCCAGTGCCTCGATGATTCTGTGTGGAACATTACCATCAATGCATCAGACGCTTAGAAGAGGATCAGACCCTGTGTCCCACCAAGGACCCCTTCGCCCCACCTGAACTTCGGCTCTGCGGCCAGGAGGCAATGGAGGTCGGCACCGGTGCAGCAGGGATTGCAGGTGGACTCCACATAGCTGCGCTCTGACAAAAGGCAGCAGTGGTGTAGAGAAGGAGGGAAGGAGACAAAGAGATGTGTGTTTATAGTAGTAGAGATGATGTCGAAAGTATGTCATGTAAATGTTTCTTGTCTACTGAACTAGGAATTAAAAAAAATCTCCAGCTTCTTCATAACCTGGTCAAAGAAACATAAAATGCTACTTCTGCAAAGATTTCTTTTGCCCCTTCCATTCATATTTTGGTGTTTGGATCATCTTCATCCTATTCTGTTTTGAAAAGTTTATGCAATACAACATATGAACTGAAGCTTTCGATTATTAATGTTACTGTATTTGATGTAACCCTTGTCTTACAAATTTTGTTACGAAGGATGAACGAGGCTGTTCCACCATTTGTTGTCCTTGCATAGTGGTTCTCTTGAAGTTCATCCAGCCATTTCGTTAATGTGTAAATCTTCCAATTACATTTTGTATTTATATTTGGTATTTACTATTGCAGTGTGGTAACACACCAATTGAAGTTGCTGCCTCTAAAGGCAGTAGGGACATGGTTGAAATGTTATTCCCTTTAACTTCTCCTGTTTCAACGCTGCCGAACTGGAGTATTGATGGAATCATTTCTCATGTGAAACACTTCGGTTTGAAGCCGATGGTATGTGTTTCCTTCTGTGCTCACTTGCAGTTCCATATGTTATTTATCATCACCCTGTAGTCTGTTCTTTGGAAGTTCTGCCTATCATTTAGAGTAGAAATAGTTTTTCCACAATTATTCTAAACTTCATTATGCAAACAAAAACATTCCATGCAAATTTTACTTTTGGTGCATTGCATCACTATTAGCAAACTCCTAGTCTTTGGGTATGCCCGCATGGTGTACTATTAATGTGCTAGACTTAACAAGTTATTTTGGATGATATTGTGCCTGCCCTGAAACTCCGGACAATAGTTTTTATTACGAGTTTATAGTCTTGTACTCCCTCTGTAAAGAAATATAAGAGCGTTTAGATCAGTACTTAGTGATCTAAACACTCTTATATTTCTTTATGGAGGGAGTACATTAATTAGGATACACCCTGAATTCTGGATAAACCCTGCAACACTGCAGGACAACACATTTTTTCTTGCCTTAGACATTATTTAGGTGATATAGGACGACACCTACAAATTTGTGCATTTTTCATGTTTTACATTACTAGCTAGTTCTACGTATTTTTTGTAACCAGTTCTGTTTTTGTGGTCAGGATAAGCAAAAATGTGCGAAGATAAGAACTGAACTAAAACAGAAAGCTTCAGAGGCATTTAAGGAAGGGAAATATTATGTGGCATCAGAGATGTATACTGGTGTAAGTCACTAAGGCCCGTCTTTATTGCCTGAAGGAGTGGTGGTTATTTTTTATATTTGTATACTGTTAATATCAGTCCATGCTATATTTTTGTTCACACCTCTTTCTGGTAAAACATGTGCTGTTGTATGTCAGTTCCACAGTACAAGGCATACACAATCTAGGCGTCCTGCTCTCTTAGTAATTATGAGGTAGTTGAGCAGTTTGTGTTCAAAGGGCTGCGGTGGTAACACAGTACCTTTTTTTTAGAATGTAGGTAAGAAGTTCCTACTTTGAAATGTATCTGCTTGTCCAATACATCTGCTGGTTTCATGTGTACGGAGATCTCTATATCAATCAGAATAACACCTTCTGAGCGTCATCCTCATTGATATAATTATTGTCTTGGAGTACTCTATTTTGGAATTGCTAAAAGCTGCATGCGACTGATGTGTTGTAGGCAATGGCATTTGACCCTAGTCCAGATGATTGTGCGACCATATTGGCAAATAGGAGTCTCAGTACGTTGCGCGGTGGGAATGGAAGAGCTGCTCTCTCTGATGCTACCATGTGCAGGATGGCGCGACCTCTTTGGCCAAAAGCTTGCTATCGAGAAGGCGCTGCTCTTATGTTATTGAAGGTAAAAAGAACGCAGTAGTTTTCTTCAAGCATTTGTGATCATGATCATATAACTAATCACCTTATGGCATGTACTTGTAGAAGTACGAGAGAGCATGCGAGGCTTTTGCGGATGGCTTGAAGCTTGACCCTACAAATGGTGATCTTGCAAATGCTTTAAGGTAACTGGTCCATATTTTCGTGGTGTGTAGGGTGATGTGCAATCCCCTGCTTCGTAAGTTAAGTAAATGAACAAATGATATCTTGATAGACAACTGTGCGCATGGAAGATGGGTCTCCATCTCTTTTGAGGAATATTACATGGATTCAGTCATTCAAGTCTATTAAGTTCTTTTTTTCTTGAGCTGGAGCGATTTACTAATCGCAGAAAGAACACTAGTGCTGATCTTTGCATTTCATGATTCATCTCCAGTGCAAGTTGTACACAGATTCTTGACAATTCTCATGTTCAAAATATTTTGGTCGCAGGGAAGCCCAAGAAGCAGCAAAGAATGCTCGTCGCCGTGAAAAGTGACTGACATGTCAAGTCTTACATGCAGAATCCGAGGCTTTGTTTTGTTGCTGAGCACCTTTTGTCTAGTCTGAAAACTTGTAATGATAATTACCTGTGGTTCTTAAGACTTCTGTCGCACCCATCGTTTGTAAATATGACCGGGGATGAAACTCGCTAGCTTTTGATTCCAGTTCAAGTGTCAACAAGCTTTATTATCGCAGAACGTTAAGCTTGTTATATATTTTGGTTAAATCATGGAATTCAGTACTGAGGTTTATTTTCAAGGTAAATACACTAGGAGTCATTGAACTTGCACGCGACACTCAGTTTGGTGCATAAACTTGTAAAATACGTGTTTCTGGTCATTGAACTTGCACGGATGTTCATATACGGTCACATTTTACGTATGCAGACATATCCATGGCCTACATTTTTTTTTGAGACATGTATCCATGGCCTACATGGCATGCCAGGGCTCGCTGTGGGCCGCTCTCACAAGGTCGATTTACATAAAAGTTTTTATTTATTAAGCTCCTAAAATAAAATGATAAAAAACAAGGAGATGACGGGTTTTGAACACGTGGACTGCCACCACCAGGATTGTGTGGACAACCACCACACCGGATGATCATTCAAGTTTGGAAATCACTACTAGTTTATATATCATATAAACACATACCGATTTTTTTTAAAGAAATGCAACCTGAAGAAAGAGCGCAACATGGCTCGACCATGTGATCTCATGCTCAATGTTAACTAAGATTACCACCAGGCTACTATAACAGAAAATGTCCAGAAGAGATAAACATTTTTCATGTTTTTATTCCTTCTTGTTCTATGTAAGAACACAACTTATATTCTTGTGTTTCTGATATTTAAAAATGATTATGTGTTACACAAAAGGTACATGACATTTAAAAGAATGTAAAATATTGTAAAACATATGTGTCTAATTACAAAAACATAAGTTGCATTTAATATTTTTTCATGCATTTTAGAAAAAAATCATAACAATTTTAAAAATATTTATACAATGTACAAAAATATTCATGTAGTTTACAAAATGTTTGGTACGATCCAAAAATGTTTAACATGTATTTCGAAAAAGATTCTGAAACTCGTATTTGATAAAATCTTAATCATATGTTTAAAAAATATTAAACATGTATAAAAATGTTTTAAGATTATACTGGAAAAATAGACACAAAAAAATATTTTAAAAATGCTAATCATGTATTTGGAAAATGTTAAACATAATTAAACTTTTATGTTCTGACGTGTATGTATTTCCAGTATACAATTAAAAACATTTTTATACACGTTCAATATATTTTAAAACATATTATTAACATTTTCTAAAATACAAGTTTTGAAGCTTTTTTTAAAATACTACATGTTAAATATTTTTGCATTGTACGAAACATTTTTCAGCTATGAAAACATGTTTGTACATTGTATGCACATTTTTAAAAATGTCATATTAAGTTTTTTGAAATGTGTGAACATTTTTAAAATGCAACGTATGTTTTTAAGTCCATAAATTTTACAATGTTTAAACAATTTTAAAAATGTCACGTATCTTTTTTTGTAACATATAAAGATTTTTTAAATGTCACAAACACAAAAATATAAAGTTGTTTTCTTACATAGAACAAGAAGGAATAACAACATGAAAAATGTTTATCCCTTCTATACATGTTGTGTTGTTGTAACCTGGTGGTAATCTTAGTCAACGTTGTCCATGAGGTTAGATAGTCGAGACATGGTGCTCCATTTTTTTGGGTTACATTTCCTTTTAAATTTATTTTTGGTCCGTGTTTATATGATATAGCAGATGTTGATAGCTTTGTTCAAGTGTAAATGATCATTGTTCTGGTGGTTGTCCACATGCCCCAACCAGCGGCAAGTCTTGAGTTCAAAACCCCATTGTCCCTTGCTTTTTAATAATTTTATTTTATGGGCTTATAAATACATAAATAAAAGAAGTTAAGGGCTTTTCGGTCCGTGTTTACATGAAATGTGACCGTATATGAACGTCCGTGCAAGTTCGATGACTAGAAACACATATTTTGCAAGTTTGTGCACCAAACTGCACATCGCCTGCAAGTTCTATGACTCCCGGTGTATTTACCTCTTTATTTTCGCATTGCGACTGGCAGCCATTCCGAGGTTGGTCTTGTCCCTTGCAAAGCGGGATTAGCCTTGGTGGTGGCAATCGCAAGGGCACGGTGGTTGTACGGCATTGTTGGGTCGCCTAGTAGGGCCAGAGCCCGGAGAATGTAATTTGGGGCGTTCACTTTGGCTTTTGCTTTTGCGTGGAGTGTTGCGTACCAGTGAGGGCGAGCCCATCGCCGTGCGCGAGGCTCCAATTCTGCAGATCATGCCTGACCTACAGGAGCTATGTCTGTGCCCTGTTTTACCTTTGTCTGTGGAGCGCGTGGAGGTGGACTCTTCGGTGACCTCGTGTGAGGGGTATGTTTCGCCTCTGTCATGTGAGAAACTGGAGGTGCCTGAGTCAATCGTGTCAGTGATTCCCGTGGGTGATGATGTCGTGTCGGTGGTTTTTGTGGCTGATGATGTTGAGGCGGTCTGTATGTTGATGCCTCACTCTTGGAGCCCAGCCAACCGCTCGCCTTTGTGGAGCACGGAGGTTCCGACGTTGCGGTCACCCACTCGCATGTGGCCGTTGGGAAGGTGGTGTATGTGCGTGACAAGGTCGATGAGATTCTCTTCGAGTTAGAGGTTCACAGCTTGCTCAAGCGTTTGGAGGCGGCTTGTCCTGGATCTGGCAAGGCAATTGTGGAGGAGGCTCTCATCAAGAGCAAAAGTAAGAAGAGTGGTGGCGCTGGAAAGGCATCTGCAGCTGTTTGATGTATGGTCATCAGTCTCTTTAGTTGTCCATATGGCCTGACTTGTCTTTGTGGTCTTGGTGATGCTCGTGGTCTCTGGACGAGGTACTCTCGTTGGGAGTGCCTATGCAATGTAGCTGTGTGGAGGTTGGTGGTCGTTATGTGTTGGGTATGATTGTCCGGTTGATTGTGTGCTTATGGGGTTACATGTTATATGAGTAGTCCTCATGTGGTAGGTTTGTATCAGTTTTCGCCCGGTTTTCTATTAATTAACTGAGCAATTCTCTTCTCCTTAATTAATCGATGAGGCAAATCTTTTGCCTCCGTTTTGAAAAAAAGAAAAAATAATGAGTTTTGGACTTGAACCAACCGTAGTCATAGGTTGTCCAAAGGTTGGTGAATTGGCCCATGGAAATGTTTACTGGTTAGGCTATGTTATGTGTCGTGCCCTGAAGTAGTAGTGTAACCTGATGCTTGCAGCTTCTAACCAATTGCTGTTTTTACTTGTTATTATTGCTAGTGCTTTGTTTGTAACATCTTGTAGCTTCACAGGTGCAAGCACCTACTGAAAATATCCATGTTTAGTAGACATGGCAGATTTTCCCCACTTCGCGAATGAAATCATTTTGATATGAATACGGTCAAATAGAAACCCAAAAAAAAAACAGTTCGATTTTGTCATGAACAACACGGCAAACTTTTCGCCACGAAGAACAATCGAGAGGAGATGTTTTCTTTCGCAAAATCTGCCCTACGAGATTCTTGCCAAATCGAAATGAGCCTGAGAAAACACTTTGTTTTAAAAGACTGTCTCAAGGTCGGTGAATCGGGCAAAATATCAAGGAAACAAAAAAAAATTGAATTAGTACAGACGCAAACGCTCATACATATGTGCATACACTTACCCCTATGAACGCACGTATGCACATCCTATCCCTATGAGCACCTCCGACAAACTGAGTCAGCATGTCAGAGACGGAGCCAGCTTATTGTTGTTGGGTTCAACTGAACCCAACGACTTTTTCTGCTACGTACACAAGTACAAGAATTTAGTGGCGTGAACCCAGTAGAAAATCGTAGCTGACCCCATCAAAAGGCTACAAGCCCACAAGCTAATTGTCTCACGCCCTTGATTGTTAGTGACCTGTTCTCATACGAGATGTATTATACACGGCAGCTGCTCACCCTTATCTTTCCTATTCGATTCCCAACTCGGCTCTCTCTCACCTCTCCTGTTCCGATCGCTTCGTCGCACAATGGCAAGTAGATAATTGCAGACCACAGTGGCAAGCCAACAATTGTAACTTACAGTTGAGGTAGCCCTTGCATATTTTTCTATCTATCCAGCATAAGACGGTAATGGTTTTTATTTCCTTTCCCTAATTTTTTAATCATTTTTCTATAAGATCTTTGATTGATCTAGATTATAGATCAATATTTTCCAAAGTGACTAAGTTGACATTTTTCAATGTTTTCAAGAAGATGAGAAGCTACACCTCAAGCTACGAAGTAATTTGAGTACTACTCTATTATGTAAACATGTGATTTTACAATATAATCCAATAAGTATGTCCCGCCATGTTCTGTATTTAATGTAAGACAATAGATGGCTTCTATCATATTTCTATTCGTTGTGATGGTTTTGAGTGATACATTTCTATTCGTTATGTTGGTTTTGAGTGTTGTACTTGCGTTGTAAGATGTTGTAAAATTAGACTTTACATTTAGTTAATGAGTGAATTCAATGGCTAAATTTTCTGGCTCCGCCCCTGCAGCATGTCATCTTAAAATTTACGAAGCCACCGTAGGCGCCTCGTCGTCGACGAGAACGTCTTCTTCCACTGAAGGACTTGAACCTAATGGGCGAAACATGTATAATATGCATACTTGTGTGTATTCTATCTATAGAAAGAAAAAACGTGTCTACTTTCTGTTCTGTCTCGTGCCCTGAAGCAGCGGTAGTAGCCTGACCCTGACGCGACCCAACCAGAGCGCATGCCACCAAAGGCAACCGCCGACGGTTTTGTACGAAATGGATTGACAATCCAAACAACCGTCGTCGATCAACTGCAGACAGAGAGGGAGTTACTTCGACGACAGGCAGATGGGATCCGTGGTGGGCACGGCGGCGAGCGGCGTGGGCACGCTGCTCGGCGGCGCCGTCGCCGCGCC